TGAGGTCAACTTGGGTAAGATTTTCAAAAGCAAACAAATCTATACCGGTCAAAAAGTTATAAGAAAGGTTTAAACTGACCAATGACATCCCTTCGATTTCCCATTTGTGAATTTGACCAGAAATCTTGTTCTTGGAAATATCCAATACCTGCAAACTCTCTGCCTTCCTTAAGAAACTTGGGAACTTGTGTATGTTGCAAGAAGAGAATTTTAAAGACCAGAGGTTCGGAAAGGAATAGTTGACACCAGTGCTATTATTGCTCAAAGACAACAAATTGTTATTGGAAAGATCCAGATCCCGAAGGTTAACAAGTTTTGAAAGCATGTTGGCTGTAATGGTGCCACTTAAATTATTTGAAGAAAGATCGACCACGGCAAGATTCACAAGATGAAAGAAAGAGCTAGGAAATGAACCACTTATCCCATTATTGGACAAATAGACTTCTTGTAAAATGAGATTAGGCATCTCAACATGATCAATAGGTTCGGTAAGTCTGTTGTTTTGGAGGTCTAAATGGGATAAAGAAGGCAAAGAAAGCAACCAAGATGGTATAGGACCTGTGATGAAATTATTATCCATTCGAAACTCATCTAAAAATGAGAGTCCACTTATATTGCGAGGAAGAGGCCCTCTTAGCTTATTTGATGACAGTCTCAAATAAGTAAGATTAGTGAGGTTGAAGATTGATGTAGGAATTTCACCATCAAAACTATTAGCAAAAAGGCTCAAATGAGTTAGCTTTTGCATTTTTCCGAAGACATCTGGAATTGATCCATAAAATTGGCAACCATCGAGATTCAGATACTCGAGGGTACTACTTGGGCTTGACTCAGGCAAATTACCTCTTAAATGATAGTTGTCACTTAAATCAAGAAACTGGAGAGATGGAAGCTGAAAAACTTGGCTTGGAAAGTTTCCTTGCAAATTACAAGAGTAAAGGCTCAAATGCTCCAAGGAAGAAGTCAAGTTTAGCAAGGAAGAAGGCACAACCAGAGACATATTCACAAAACCAAGGCTAAGAAACCTTAATTCTGTTAAGTTATGCACAAGCATTTGAAACTTTATGTTGTCAACAAGCAAATCATAATTACAGGAGAGATCGAGTGAGACCAATTTTTTCAGCTGAAAAACTTGGCTCGGAAAGTTTTCTTGCAAATTACAAGAGCTAAGGCTCAAATGCTCCAAGGAAGAAGTCAAGTTTAGCAAGGAAGAAGGCATAACCAGAGACATATTCACAGAATCAAGGATAAGAAACCTTAATTCTGTTAAGTTATGCACAAGCATTTGAAACTTTATATTGTCAAGAAGCAAACCATAATTCTGGGAAAGATCGAGTGAAACCAATTTCGTTAGTTGAAAAACTTGGCTTGGAAAGTTTCCTTGCAAATTACAAAAGCTAAGGCTCAAATGCTCTAAGGAAGAAGTCAAGTTTAGCAAGGAAGAAGGCACAACCAGAGACATATTCACAGAATCAAGGATAAGAAATCTTAATTCTGTTAAATTATGCACAAGCATTTGAAACTTTATGTTGTCAAGAAGCAAACCATCATTATGGGAGAGATCGAGTGAAATCAATTTCGGTAGCAGGAAGATCTCATCAAACGGGAGAGAGACATCCATGTATACTGAATCTGCAAGGTTAAAGATTTGTCACATTATAAGAAGTGAAACCGGTTTCAGAAGCATGGAGATTTAAAAAAATAAAAAATAAAAGTAAAGAAATGAAATCGCGTACCTGAAAGATTAAGATATGTCAAACTCTTCCAACGGTCGAACCCAAATGAGATGTTAGGATAATGACAATAATTGCCAGAAAGGTCGAGACTCTGCAATTTCTCAAGGAAGAAGAGACTACTATTTGTGGTTAGATTGGCTTTAAGACAATTACTGCTAAGATCAAGGCCAATCACGTGACCTTTCCGCTTGTCGCATGTGATGCCCTCCCACAAGCAGCAGTCTTT